CTAAATCTCAGTTTTAACTGTGCTCTCAAAGATGGTTTCCAATGAAGGTAGAACATAAGTAAACTCGTCGTCCCTTCGACGTCAAGCTCTTCTACTGCAACATCGAGATCCAGGACTAGTAGCATAGCTTCACCCAATTCGGAATCAACTGGATGCTGCACATCCCCCTGTTTGGCCCCAACCACGGCCTGAAAAAGTCGCATCAGATGGACCAAGGGAATGCTGATACGGATAGTCAACGGCGACCTCGCCAAGCAGATTGAAAAATGAGAGAGAAAAATAGAAAGGTAAATTATATAGTACCCCCTCAGGTTTGAGATTTATTACAACCTCATACAACATCTTTAAAACATTTCACTTTCATACCTCACCTACTATTTTATTTCAAGATAGTACTCCCATTACATTTTCCATCCATTGATCTGTTAAGAGCTGACGTGGCTACCACATTTGTACACGTGGCTGTCACATGTGTGCCATGTGGCAAAAAAAATAATTTTTAAATTTTTTTTAAACCTGAATCTTCTCAAAAAAAAAAAAAAAAAAAAAAAAAAAAAATGAAAAACACAGAACCCACCCCACTTTCCCCTGCAACCCCTCCCTACCCTCTTCTCCCTCTCGAGCCGAGTCTCCCAACCACCTCCCTCTTCTTCACTCTCTTCACCTCCCATCCCATCCAAAAACCCACCTCCCCTACAACCCCCCACCTTCCACAGTCACACGTTTACACCAACACAGACACGTAACACACCATCGAGAGAGATGAGAGAGAAGATAGAGAGAGAATGGGAGAGTGTTGTCCTCCGATGGATCTGTTCAGGTCGAAGCTTATGCAGCGCCGCCGTTGTCCTCCTCCTTCGTCGTAGCAGTGTATAGGACCCCTCCACCGTACCGCTCCACTTGCCATGTCTCATAGCTGACCCGATTTGATCGGTACTCGTCCACCCATTTCGGGATTTTGGACCTCGACGACATATTGAAGAATCTTTCCGAAGAAGAGCACGACGACGATGAAGAGTTTGAGTTCCTTTGGCGACGATCCACGGCGGCATTGCTCCAGAACTCGAACCATCTAGGGGTTTTGGTTCTTGAACTGAAACCAACGTCCAAGCTCCGCCGCGAGAAATTTGAAGACGACCCGGTCGATTTCTCGATCACTAATCTTTGTTTCTTAAGGATATACAGGTCGGTTAGATTTCCAAACGTTGTCAGTTAAATAGGAGAATGAGATAAGGTTGTTCCGTATAGGAAGAGTGGATTTTGCGACAGTTGTTGGGCCGGTGGCTGCTTGGGTGGAGGTGAGGGAAGGAGGTGGTTGGGAGGCTTAGGAGGGAGAAGAAGGGTGGGGAAGGGTTGCGGGGGAAGTGGGGTGGGTTCTACGTTTTTTTGTTTTTTTGTTTTTGTTTGTTTGTTTGTTGAGAAGATTCAGGTTTTAAAAAAAAATAAAAAATAAAAAATTTGCCACGTGGTACAAATGTGGCAGCCACTTCAGCTCTTAACGGATCAATGGATGAAAAATGTAACGAAGGTACTATATTGAAATAAAATAGTAGGTGAGGTATGAAAGTGAAATATTTTAAAAATATTGTAATAGACCTCAAACTTGAGGGGGTACTATGTAATTTACCCAAAATAGAAATAGTGGGGGAGGAGGAGAAAGAGAGAAAGGAAGAATAGCAGGTGATTACGCCCGTTGGAGTAGACGCTAGCGATGGGAGGTGACGTGGTATTTTTGAAGTCTATGAGAGAGTACCCAAACTAAAAGCCTACTTTTAGGGTTTAGTTTTTTTTTATTTTTAAATTTTTTAAATAACTGCATGGTCGAGATTGACAAGTGGCGATCAATCATTGTCTAAGCGGGTGCAAATTCACATCTTAACGACTGTTTTAACAGAAAGCTTAACGGATGAATGAAAGTGTATCAAAATTATCACTTTAGATATCAGACAAGAATGAAAAAAACTTCACATACGAAAAGTTGAAAACCAAGAAACTTCTAGGTAATCAACTAAAATTTACCCTTTTTATTGACTCACCAGAAACTACCCCAGAAAGTAAAGAGTTAACCTCTCCAGATGGGCCAAGGGGTCAAAGCATCGCTTGATGTTGGACAAAACTCATCTCCAACCATATGTTGGGCTAAAAACCACCAAGCAAAACATGGCCGAAGGGTTATCTTGCTATCAAATCTTGGCCTAAAAATCACCAAGCAAAACATAGCCGAAGGGTTATCTCGCTATCAAATCTTGGACTGGTACCCAGCCCGTTTCGGAAGTATGTGGCTTACTCCCGATATGGAGCCCACTCCTGCCGCAAGGGCTTGTGACCCTCATGCCACCATTGCTGGTTTCAGTGATTGGATAATGATTTTGATTTCTGGTTCTTTTACTTTTCTTTTACATTTTCTGAAAGGCTACTTTCAAACTTAAAATGTTTAAAAAATCCTGAGTAATAGAATTTATGCTTAATGTGTAGGTCTTGGATATGATGACTTGATTTACATATTCATTTTAATCTAAGTTTTTCACATTTTCTATTCATCTCAAGAATTATGTCCAGATATCTTTATTTTAATATGGTATAAGTAGTAGTTTAATCAAATTAATCAATAAATTAAAAAAAAAACTTAAAACTAATAAAATGATTGAAAGGCTATGTTTAGTCCCTTTTGGTTGAAGATGATATATAAATATGGTCTGGATTGTTCTTAAAATATATGTTTTTGCAGAGCTATAATTCTGAACGGAGCTACGTTTAGAGTTAAAGATGACCTTAATTTCTCTTTTCCGAGCCACATTGACATAGTTCAAAAACGCTATAGGAAAGGGAATTCCAAAATTATATTCCTACAATATAAGAGGGTTTCCATGCTATCAAGTATCAAAGAAAACGAAAAGGAGATTTTCCATGAGCCTTTAATTTTACAAGGGCGCTGTACAAGCACTGTCATTAAAATGGCTTATCCAACACAAAAGTCATGACTAAATATGTGGTGAGAGACTAGAGTCTACTAACTGTGAATATGAGGAAATTGATAAAGGCTAGAACAGAGTTTCCAAATTTAGCCAATCACGGGCTCAACACAAGTCTGGTAAGAGCTTAGTTTCAATGTTCCTTTAACAGCACCAAAAAAATCTGCTTGTTATATAACTTCACCTCAATCAGCATAAATATTCATATCACAGAAGCAAAAGCTTTATTAAAAAGGAAAACGAATGAAAAGGGTTTGAAAATTTTGAGTTTTAACGATAAGGACAAAATAAAAGATAAAGTGAATAGTATCAAGATTAACTTTTTAGTATAAAAATATGATTTTTCGTTAAAATAAACAGTACCGTGAACTTTTCGTTAAAATTCTTTTATTAAAATCCATTAACAAGTGAGCACATACCTGCAGTACTATAACTTCACTCTGCCAGGCGGTGAAATAAAATCACCTGTGCACCTATTTAATTTAATAGATGCTGTAGAAAATAGTGGAAAGGAGGGAAACTTTAAAGTATACTCTTGATATTTCAAAATGCACATGTATTTGTTAGGATTTGGTTCGTCTTTTGTTAAAGAGTCCTATTTTGTTTAGAATTGTATTAAAAAATTAAAGGTGCACAAATTCTTGTCTTCTTGTACAATTAGAATAGGAATACTAAAAGCAGAAAAGGAATAGGAATGCAAATGTGATTTCCTAGTCAGATTATAGGCATGTAAACCACACCCTGACACCCTGTACTCATGAATAGGGTGCGGCAAGAGCTGAAAAGCAACCATAAAAACAGAGAGACAGCCGAGAGAAGAGGGGATTAGTTCCAAATTTTGCAAGAGTACCATACTCAATTATTAATATAAAAAAATTTCATGCTACCGTGTTTCTAGTTATTTTTTATTTGCTAAATTTAGTCTAGTGCCGGATGCATAAAAAATATCTAGAGGGGAGTTGAAATAACAATATTTTATCTAATTCCTTACTACTTCAAAATGAACAAGTTTTTTTCTCCAAACAATGAGTATATATATTCTTTGTTTAGTCTGTTTCCATTACATTCTATACCTTTATGTTAATCGGCCAACATGAAAGGTACATCATGTTAACTTTGCTTAAAAATGCCAGCTTCCACAGTTAGTAAAGTCCTTAATCACTTTGCACACAAACACTTAAAAGACTAAACGCCAAAAATTCTCAAAGACATTCAAGAGAATACAATTGCCCCCTTGACAAACTCCCTCAAATGGGATTATCAACCTTCTACTTTAATTTCTGAATGATTTGATAACTTTTTTGAACCGGATAATTACGAATGAGGGGCTGAGCTCCCTTTTAAAGCTGCCTAAACAAATCTCTTTCATGAATGAGCTGAATACCATTTGCAAGGAAACATCAATGTGAAGTACCAAAATCATCTTCACACATATGTATTGGTAAATTAGATTAGAAATAGAAATCATCTGCAGAAAAACTGAGTCATACAGGTCAACTTTCACCAGGGGTCTGCCAGTAACACAAATATAGTGTACTATAAGTGCCTAGAAAGGTGAAATATTTGCAGCCTATTTGGTATCCCTTGGAAGTCTACATTTGGGATTAGTTATCTTACCCTCTTTTTCCCCTTAATTTCAAAGTAATTTGACAAACTTAATGCTCATAACAAACCCATGACATTTGAGCCTCCACACCCCAAAAACCTTTAATATCAAAGATCTGCAACTAGAACGATAGTCATTTTATCCTCAAAATATACAGCACACAATAAAAAGTTGGATGCAAAGAATTTCTGTCGAAAAAGGTTCTACTAAGAATATCCACAAAGACTTGAGAGTGAGATCCACAGCTGCTTACAATCTATTTATTCTCTCTCTTCAACTCATACCTGAAGGTTGACCGTGGAAATACAGGCATGAATGAACTACTAGCAAATCTAAGTAAAATATGCATGATGGTTTTGGTTTTAGTTTTTCAAAGTATAAAAGGCAAATAAAATATATAGAACAAATCTGGAAACCATTTCTGTCTAAGTAAAATGATTTCCTTCATAAAAGCTTAAGTCAAATCACAAAGAACAGTAAGTTTCTGTTTTTACAATAAACGTGCTATTAGTAATAGATTCCAGTCCACATGTAATGCAAAACAAGGTGATAATTCTTTGGGAATAATTTTTATTGTTAGAATTCCCAAAGTGTTTTAAAGCAAATTTATGGGAGTGCATAGAATCATTCCTGAGTATGATGATACAAATGAGTGCCTGTTTTATTTAAAAGTCCTCCGTCGTCGCATTCTCCATGTAAAGGTAATGTTCGATGTGTATGACCGCATTGCTATCTCCCCCGGCGCATTGACTTTGTTAGCTTAACGCAGTTGGCTGTTTCGAGAGGGTTCTTCAAGAGTCTTCACGGTCTCATAGACAGCAGAAAAGTCAAGGTCCCCAAGCCCCATGCTTCTAGCCTTCTTGAAAGCCTAAAATACCATAATAAACATAAATCGTTAGGGTATTATTGCTCTAAAACTATGTTTGAGCGAGAGATTTTCAAGTCATAAGGAAATGAGGTCAAATAATTAAAGAATGTATCGCAAAATGTAAGATGGGAGGAATTGGAAATGCTTCATATGAGCATTACAAAAGACGTGTGAGATGGATTTGCAAATCCTTACCTGGAAGGAGTCGTTTACAAATCCTTCACACTTGCCTTTGTAATGCTCATGAAAGGGATTTTTAATTCCTCATATCCAACATTTTTGTGATCCATTTATTAATAACTTTTCCTTGCTTGGAACTTGGAAATCTCTCACGTTAACATATTCCAAATCTCATTGCTTGACAATAAAACTACAAGTCTTCCGATAATATATTGGTTTCCTTAGGCTTTGTCTAGTATAAAGAATTGGATTGCAATGGATAAAACACCATTTTCAAGGTATGCTGAAAGAAAAAATGAAAAAAATGTGGCCAATTTGAAGTTAGAAGATGGATTACTCAAGAAGAAAGCTTATTCATTCCAATCTAATCCCCCCAAAATGAAAATTGTTTTCCTCTACCTTCAACATACTATAAACTTAAAGGTTATCCATTCTAATCTAATCCTAGAAGCCAAAAAGAGGCCTAAGGGTATAGATATCTTTATATGCTACTCTACTATCTTCTCTTTAGAAATTTAAGATCATGACTGTACACTACAAAATTCCAATTATTTCAAACTTCCAAGTATAAACACGTAATTCAATTTAAACAACACTATCAACTAACACAGTTCTGAAAACGAGTCAAGTGTTTAAATGGTTTCTCAATGATGATGGTGGACATTTGAAGTTGCGAGGTACTGGAAAGACTTATGTTACGTGGAAGATATGTAGACAGTAGATAAGGGTTTTGAAAGAAGTGACATCAAACCACTATCTGTTAAAATTAGCTTTTATTGGACAGCAGCAGCCCTGGGGTTGTCTTCTAAATCTTGGAATCACGTTAAGAAAACTCTACTTTTACACTATGGCCAACTTTGTAGACAGTTAACAAAGAACAAGTCAGAGCATAACCTCATTAGCTGCAGCAGCTACTGGCATTGATGTAGCTGTTTCATCCCCAAGGGCAAGAGCCAATCTCATGTCCTTCTGTTGATGTTTCAAAGGAAATGCAGGCGAGTGACTGCCCTGTATCATAGTGGGTCCTTTCAACCTAAACATTGGGTTTGCAATTCCACCTAGATCCTGCCAAAATAAACTCATCAACAGTAAGCAGATCAACAACTAGTAAAATAAAGTCTAGGTAGCTACTGACCAACACATCAAGAAGAACAGAAGGTTCTAGTCCACTTCTCCCAGCAAGAACAAGTCCTTCAGAGAATGCATTCATCATGCTGCAATAAACAGAACGAGTAATATATTTACCATAATTGCTTCGGCTGTATGAATAATGAATCTATATATACTAGATTAGAAGCACCAAGTTGGATTATTATGTGATGTCAACTTGCGAGAAACGTTTTATAATTTTTATTGATATGTACACAAAATGAGTGTTGTGAAGATGAGAATGCTTCTTTGGATGTGCGGCCACACGAAAAAGGATAAGATCAGGAAAGAGGATATCTGAGGTAAATTAGGAGTAGCCGAAATTGAAGATAATATTTAAAAAATTGGGCCATGAGTTTCTATTGTTTTAAGATTACACCCCAACGTTTAAACATTAAATCATTTTTCACTTTCTGTTAATTTGACTGTCTGGCCGTTAATTGTTGAAGTGACAGTGCTGGATCTACTCCCAATATGGCCTTGGTGTGTTCTACTTCATTGTGGCATAGGTAGTGGGTGATTGTCACGTCAACAGTTAACAGTTGATTACATGGTCAACCTAACAGAAGGTGTACATTGGTTGCATGTCAAAACGTCAAGGTGTAAAATGAGAAAATTAGTGAGAAAATTAGAGCCTCATGGCCCACCATTTTGAAAGAAGTCTTCAAATGTACTTAGTGCCACAACATATTATGAGAGTAATATCTGATATTCTCAATACTGTTTCTAACTTCCAAAAAACTATTACGCTAGTACATCAGCATACTGCATCTTCCTACTAGAAAATTCCACCCCCATATTTGCGTTCTTGAGACAATACTATTCACTTTATTTGACAAAAAAAGCTGCGAAAATGATTCTCCATTATATTATGGATCATTTGTGCAGAAAGCAACCATTACCTTCCCATTATCATGTTGACAACAAGTTTCATTTTTGCTCCATTTCCAACCTGCCCCAAATAGAAAGACTTCTTTCCCATGACATTGAAAGCCGGAATCACTTCCTCGTACAATGCCTACATTTGAACAGTGAAATCATGCAGTGATGTTACATTAAAATGATTCCTGACTCAACTATAGAAACTCATGACTGCTCCAAAAAAGCTCATAAAATTTTGATGCAGAAGCTATAGTTTAATTATTACTTTAAAATTCTATTCACCTTGGTTATAACATGTTGATGCAAGTGGAATCATATCCATGTTCCTTTTTATTACTATTATAAATCCCAAGTACATAAAATGCCACAAAACTCAATAATCTGAATCAATTTTTTTTTGTGTACAATGAAGTATTCATATAAGATCTTTGATTTATCGATCCTGGTAAAACTTCAGTAAACAGACTGGATACTGTTCTGATCCTAGAAGTTAGTAAACATCTCAATGAAAATCAACCGTACCCTCAAAAGTTCATTGTTCCATAATCTAAATCTATATCCTTCTTGAAAATGAGGTATACATGGAGAATATTCGATTCATTAAGAATAAATCCCACATTGATGGGAGGAGGGACCTTACATGGGCTTATAAGTAAGTTGGGCTACTCCCCATATTGCCAATTCGTTTTGTGGTGGAACCTAAATTTTCTTCAGGACTTATCATCCTAATAGAACTATTATTCCTCCTCCTTAAAATTTTATGATCCAATTCTATCTCTTAATTGCGCTTGAAAGCTCCTAGACAACCCCTCATTAAAGCTCCTAAAAAACCTACGTCAAATTAACTTTGAAAACAATAAAATCTTGCTTAACACATTTGAAACTGCCACTTTTACCCATGTGCACCCTCGTATTCAATGGTTAACTTTGCAAAGCACGTGACTGAAACAAATATGCGACCGGTGGCTCAAAATGTATATTCTGTTTACATGCACAAATAAAGTCAGTCGTCCTTGTATATTTGTGTTTGTTCTCTTCTCTGTGTGTGCGTGTATCCGCACGTGTGTGTGGGTGTGTTTACATGCAGCACCTTCTTGAACAAGAAGGTCAAATGTCAAGCAAGAGAAATGTTAGCAACCTTTGCACTTATCTTTGCATTGAACCTTTTCAATTCAGCAATGTCATTTGTCATCTTTTTACACAAAAACCAAGACATTTAGTGCCTTTGAAATTATTTTTTCTATTTTCCATCTTTAATTCCTAGCCAAAAGCAAGAGTCTTGTTTTTGTGTAAAGGTTAGTGCAAAGGTTGCTAGCAGTCCCCATCAAGCAATGTCCTTTATATTTTCAAATGGGTAATACTAGGGAGACCAAATCTTTTAGGGAGCATTTTTGCTCACCACCATAAACTTTGGTGTATGCTCACCATATGCCTAATCAATTGACACGTGTCCCAACAATGTTACTCCCTATAAGATCCCAAAACATAATGCAACATAAATTATATGCAGGAAAGCATATCTGGCAGGTGGCCAGAACTATGTATAAAGCAACAAACTGCAGAAATGATAACCTGCGTAACATATTACCTTCTCACCAGCTGCAAGGATAACTAGTTGACCATCTTCTGCGGGCTTTTTGCTACCTGAAACAGGAGCTTCAAGAAAGTAACCGCCCCTTTCTTTAATTGCCTGTAGATATTCGGTGCAAACCTTAGTTATATATGGGAAGATACTTTTCCGCTTAATATTTTTTATTCAAATATGTGATGAAAAAATAGTTCAAAATCGTAATTACATAAAGAAACTACATATGAAAATTAGTCATCTTCAAAGAACACCAGAAAGCATCCTGAGGTTTAACTGATAAAGCAATACTGATAGTAGATGAAGTAAAAATTCAACCGAGCTTTGTATCTTAAGTGCAAAGTAGCAGCTCCGAATCAGTGCATAATTGATGAGGCACATCTTTGGAAGCATGTCAGGAACTGTGAGAAAAAAAAAAGAACGAAAGGCTAGTTCCAGTGTGCAGGCCTTAACTAGAGATATTCTAATCATGTATAGCCTTCTTTTCGAACATTGCACAAACAAATTTTCAGTCTACGTTTTCTCACTTCTCCTTTTATGCAGTCAGCTATAATCTGGTAAAGTGAATTTAGCTATAGAACTGCCTCATGCTCTGGTTTTAAATATCTAACTCTTTTCTTTTTCCTAGTGCAAGTTCATCCAACCAAGAACTGCTTACCAACAGAGCCTTTCTAAACGAACAGTTTTTCAAAACAAACATATGAACTTCCTGCAGATTGCTAATTTTCAATCTTTTTTTGGGAGAGTGTGAGTGACCTTTTTCTGAAGTGTCATTAAATCCAGCTTTTTGACTTGTATTTTCTTGTTCACTAAATATACTCCATAAGAGTGCTGATGCTAAGAACTCTAACTTCTAGCTTTTATAACACTCTGAACTTCCTGCCAATTCTAGCCTCAGAATCCTAAGTTGTGCATAAGGAAATAAAAATATTTAGCTTTGAACATGAATATATATTTATGCCCTTTTATTTTACATTTCAGATCACCAAGGTTACAATTCTAGCTCTGCCTGTAAGTAAGTAAATTGGTAGTGAAAACTTATGGACACGTATCACATATGGTTTTTTAATGTAATCAACTACACTTTGAGTTTTCATCCCTCTATTAAATTTTCTTTTCTTTTACTTGGATGTTAGTCCCTGCAAGACCATAAAAAGTAACGAACAAAGCCAAAATCGTAATTCTTGGTTTTCCTCATTTTAGAACCCTACTTCTTTCAGCCCCAACTCTTCACCTACACCAGTATAAAGTCAAACTTCATTCTAGCAACTTCTTGACCTTACATCAAGATTCAGTCAAGAAGCTACCCTACCTTCCCACATGTCTACATATTCACTACATGAAAAGGCCCAAAATAGCATTCTGAATCAGGAAGATCCTGTATCTGTCAGAAAACCACAGATAAAATGTCTTTCACTTTCACTACCTATAAAATCCTTTTACTTATTGAAAGTCTAACATGTTACACGAGAGATTAGCCTTTACAGATTGTCCTACATTTGAGACAACTTTCTGGAAGTATTCATATGTTAACCTACTCATACAAGTTCAAAACTCCAACTTAGATTTCTTGATACAAATTCCTGCTATAGACATATGCATTAGTAAAAAGGTAAAATTCTACCCCATTCGTTTGAAAGTCTTAAAAACAATGGTGACCGGAATGACGCACAAGAAATGTAAACAAGGAGGAGGGGATATCATTCGCAAGTAACTCAAACCTCATTGATCTTTGAAGAAGTATCAGCATCAACTGTAGACATGTCAACATAAGATTTTCCAGCACAAATCTGCTCAAGAATGCCATCTTTTCCAAACACCACCTAAGTATTATATATTTTGATGAGTTGAAGACAAGTAGATGATGTGTCAAAAACTCAAAATACCAGAGTGAAGAATACCAACCGAAAGAGCAGCTGAAGGATCAGATAACATTGCAATGGTATACTTGCACTTCCTAACCACTTCTGCAGGGGTTTCTGCAACAGAAGCACCATGCTCCACGAGTTCATGACTCTGCAATCAAAGTTAGAGATAAAATGACATTGTCTTGTCAGAATCTCAGATTAATTTTCATTGGCTTCTTAGCCAAAATGTTCTCTGAGATCTGCATAAGTCCCCACTTTGGTCCTAACATTGAATATCGATAGAAAAAGTCCATTGTTTGTCCACCATAAATCATTTTTTATCCTTCCATGAAAAATTTGTCAATATCCACGTTGCGTGAAAGGGTAGTTTGACATAAATACTCTTTAAAAAGTGGTCACGTGGCCGTTCACGTCAAAATTTAACGAAAATATTGACAAATTTTGACTAAAATAATTTACAGTGAACTTAGAACCCCTTCTATTGATTTTCATTATCAGGACCAAAATGAGGAGGAATACCAATCTCAAGGACTATTTGGCTAAAAATCCATTATCGTTTGATTGTATGTATGCCCAGATTCTCAGCATTGCAACATATATAATCTAGCATGACGATTGGAATAGAAGATTAAGCAACATTCAAACAAGTAGCTTTGATAGGGATGATTACATAGAGCACATGATTACATAGAGCACATGATTACATAGAGCACAAGAGTCTTAAAATACCTTAGAAAGAGTCCTGTTCCAAACGGTTACCTTGAAGCCATGCCTGAGCAGATTCATAGACATGGCTTTCCCCATTATTCCCAGCCCCAGAAACCCGACCTCCATATCTCACTCTCTCTCTCAATCTCTCAATCTTTCTCTCTCTTCCTCTCTCTCCAAAGTCCAAACTCTAGAGCCAACACAAAATAAATCCACTTATTGTATGCGATTATTATCATCAATATATTATTCTCTCACTGTATGTATCCAGTAGACATTGATATGAAGCTCAAAACACTAAAGAAACAGGCAAAAAAAAGATAGCAACTTTTTAGGTCTCCCTTTTTTTATTATTTGCTGGGCCCAAGTTATCTGATTAAAAATAATTTTGCTCCCCACAACTAAGTGATAATGATGTTTATTATTATTTATTTTTATTTGATGAGAATAAATTTTGAGAGATGTACAGTACATAAGCATAAATTTCAAAATTAAATTCATTCAATTAAAAAAAGTTATAGAGAATTATAATAAATATTACTACTAATTAAAGATGATGAGCAAAAATGTAATTTGATGACTTAACGTGGATTTTTGTCCTGTCATTTTTCGGACGGATAGATGCGTCCCACGTAAATCCCCTGGTTCTTCTGTTTGTCCTCTTACTCCCCACTCATCATCTTGGGAGGGAACCCACTTGCAGTCTTCCACGTTGATGCTTTGGGGAAGTTAATCACTTCACCTATTCCATTGATCTTTGGAGAAATTAATTCAAATAATAATTTGGGCAAAAGACTGTTTACTACTCTCATGTTTCGTGGTTTTCAACATTTAGTACATCAATTTTTTTTCGTCCCAGAGTCATACCTAAAGTGTAAATTTTGGGACAGTCTCATACATCCGTTAGTCAAACTGTTAAGTCTGCCGTTAACTGTGACGTGGCACCCATGTGGCCAATGACTGGGTCAATTTTTTTTCGTCCCAGAGTCATACCTAAAGTGTAAATTTTGGGACAGTCTCATACATCCGTTAGTCAAACTGTTAAGTCTGCCGTTAACTGTGACGTGGCACCCATGTGGCCAATGACTGGGCGCCACGTGTCATCCACGTGGAAATTAAAAAAAATATAAAATAATGTATATATATTATAAAATTAAAAAAAAAAACCGAATCTGGGCAGATTCGGAAGAAGAAGAAGAAGGAGAAGGAAGAAGGAGGAAGAAGAAGGAAGAAGAAGAAGAAGAAGAAGGAGAAGGAAGGAGGAAGAAGAAAAAAAAAAAAGAAAAAAGAAAAAAACTGGGCAGATTCGAAGAACAAGAAGAAGAAGAAGGAGAAGGAAGAAGGAGGAAGAAGAAGGAAGAAGAAGGAGAAGGAAGGAGGAAGAAGAAAAAAAAAAGAAAAAAGAAAAAAACTGGGCAGATTCGAAGAACAAGAAGAAGAAGAAGGAGAAGGAAGAAAGAGGAAGAAAAAAAAAAACTGGGCAGATTCGAAGAAGAAGAAGAAGAAGGAGAAGGAAGAAGGAGGAAGAAGAAGGAAGAAGGCAGAAGAAGAAGAAGGAGAAGGAAGGAGGAAGGAGGAAGAAGAAAAAAAACTGGGCAGATTCGAAGAAGAAGGAGAAGGAAGAAGGAAGAAGAAGGAAGAAGAAGGAAGAAGTAGGAAGGAGGAAGAAGAAAAAAAAAATGGGCAGATTCGGAAGAAGGAGAAGGAAAAAGGAGGAAGAAGAAGGAAGAAGAAGAAGAAGGAGAAGGAAGGAGGAAGAAGAAAAAAAAAAGAAAAAAGAAAAAAACTGGGCAGATTCGAAGAACAAGAAGAAGAAGAAGGAGAAGGAAGAAGGAGGAAGAAGAAGGAAGAAGAAGAAGAAGGAGAAAGAAGGAGGAAGAAGAAAAAAAAAAGAAAAAAGAAAAAAACTGGGCAGATTCGAAGAACAAGAAGAAGAAGAAGGAGAAGGAAGAAAGAGGAAGAAAAAAAAAAACTGGGCCAGATTCGAAGAAGAAGAAGAAGAAGGAGAAGGAAGAAGGAGGAAGAAGAAGGAAGAAGGAAGAAGAAGGAGAAGGAAGGAGGAAGGAGGAAGAAGAAAAAAAAAACTGGGCAGATTCGAAGAAGAAGAAGAAGAAGAAGAAGAAGGAGAAGGAAGAAGGAAGAAGAAGGAAGAAGTAGGAAGGAGGAAGAAGAAAAAAAAATGGGCAGATTCGGAAGAAGGAGAAGGAAGAAGGAGGAAGAAGAAGGAAGAAGAAGAAGAAGGAGAAGGAAGGAGGAAGAAGAAAAAAAAAACTGGGCAGATTCGAAGAAGAAGAAGAAGAAGAAGAAGAATGAGAAGGAAGAAGAAGGAAGAAGAAGAAGGAGGAAGAAGAAAAAAAAATGGGTAGATTCGGAAGAAGGAGAAGGAAGAAGGAAGAAGAAGAAGGAGAAGGAAGGAGGAAGAAGAAAGAAAGAAAAAAAAAAAAAAAAAACAAACCTGCTACCCAGATTCAGAGGAAGAAGAAGGAAAAGGAAGGAAGAAGAAGAAACCAAAAAAAAAAAGTTTTTTTTTTAAATTTATTTATTTATTATTTTATAATATATATATATTTTATTTTTTTTAATTTCCATGTGGATGACACGTGGTGCCCAGTCATTGTCCACATGGGCGCCACGTTACTGTTAATGGCAGATTTAACAATTTGACTAACGGATGTATGAGACTGTCCCAAAATTTACACTTTAGGTATGACTCTGGGACGAAAAAAACTTGATGTACTAAATGTTGAAAACCACAAAACATAAGGGTAGTAAACAATCAGAAGTAACGCTAGTGAAGAATAAATTTGTAGGCTATTGTAAATTAATTGATGTGTTTTAAATAAGAAATAAACACGTTAATTAATATTTAAATAATAATTCATTTATCAATTTTTATGTCATTTAGCTTACAATTTAATCTTTTTAACATTACCTCAAATAAGTTAACAAAAATTTGACCAATTTTAGGTAATAAAAATTTGCAAATCCTCATTTGAGCCATTTTGTTTCATTTTTTTTATCTAAATATTTGTTTGGTTTTAATTCAAATAATAATTTTGTCAGTAGTAACGTTAGTGAAGAATAAATTTGTAGACTATTGTAAATTAATTAATGTGTTATAAATAAGAAATAAACAAGTTAATTAATATTTAAATAATAATTCATTTATCAATTTTTATGTCAGTTAGCTTACAATTTAATCTTTTTAACATTACCTCAAATAAGTTAACAAAAATTTGACCAATTTTAGGTAATAAAAATTTGCAAATCCTCATTTGAGCCATTTTGTTTCATTTTTTTTTATCTAAATATTTGTTTGGTTTTAATTAATTTTTTTAGAAGAATATTTAGTTTGACACGTGACCTTATTATTGGGCACATCCTTCCAGTTTGAATCAAATTCTACTCGGCATATTGTCATTTGAAATTTTAAACCACTCTCTATTCTACTCTCTTAAGCACACTTAATTTCACACATTTAAGAAACTTTATCATTTTACGAACTAGCGTATTATTCTCAAGTTTGACTCCTATAATTAGTATTAAGAATGAGTCACACTTTGATAATAGGATGATCTTTGCATCAGCTTGATGGCATGAGGGACCTTACATCAGCAAGTAAGTTAAGTTATTTTTCATATTGTCAATTTGTTTTATGGTGGAGCCTCAACTTTCTTAATGGTATCAGAGTATGTTGTTTCACGTGTGAAGCCAAACGGTCACACGCACTTCAGGTCACCTTGTTGTGTTGTCCACGTGTTAGGCTTGAAAATTCGCCATAGGTGACAGGACGAAGGGACCTTGCATGAGCTTATAAGTAAATTGGATTATTCTCCATATTGCCAATTGGTTTATGATGTAACCTCAACTTTTTTCAAATGACGATGACATATTATATTTGATATCTCAATAACAATGTTCTAAAAGACGTTAGGCACTAGTCGGACGGCGGGCTGAAGCCTAGCGCCTAAGCGGCTAAGCGGGATCTAGTCGGGCGCCTAGGCGGATTAGACGGATTTAATTAAATATATTTATATTTCGTGTAAACAAGTGTTTGTTTATACTTAAAATATATATGATGTCATCGCAAATTACAAAATGGAATGACACATATATTATGAGCTATTGGAACATAATGAAAACATTATGAACAAGTATATAATGTGTGTTCCTTTAAGTATTCAATAAGTCTCTTACAATTTATTGAAAAAATAAAATGCAAAATGAAAGTATTTTACTTTCTGTCTAAGTGAGTCGCAACATAGGTTAGAAGGGTTTGGGCAGGCTAGGTGGGCACCTTAGTAAGTCTAGGCGCCTTTTCTTAATTCTCAAATGCCTAGGTATTAATCGGGACGGTGGTTAACCGCCTAGTGCCTAGGCGGCTCCAAGCGAAAATTTTTAGAACATTGCTCAATAGTGGTTGACACCTTTTTTGTGGCTTATCCTAGTCCTTGATCCCTTAACACATATTTACTTACTAGGAATTGAAATTGAAATCATTTTGATTTTTGAATTCTCACCATACAAGTTTGTCATTTGGTTTTTGTATCCATAGAATTGATTTAGATGGAGTTAACTGAAATGAAAATCCAATTCTCATTTAAAGATACAAAACTATTTTGTTCTCAACTAATTTGGGCCAAAATGCAATAACCTCAACTTTTTGGGCTATATTGCAAAACACAAACTTTTGAGGTCACTTTGTAAAAACACAAAGTCTACTACTTCATGTAATTACAACTAGAACAAAATTTTTTTAACAAATGCAAAAACTTCATTAAAAGACCAAAACAATTTGTCCTTTAGTGATTTTGGGCATTTACGTAAAAACGTAAACTTTCGGGTCAAGGTGCAAATACACAAAAGTATCAAAACTTTATATAATTGCATAAAAGCCCCAAAAGTACCCCCATTAAAGGGGTGGCCGGTCATGGTGAGTAGTGATGATGTGTGTGAGTTGATTTGTGTGTTTGAAAGGTGATTGAAAGTTGTGAGTGATTGGTATGGTGTGAATAGTAAAAAGAGTTGGGATGTTGTTTGAAAAATCATACCATCTATCACTAACAAAAACAAATAAACAACCAAACACCTTTTTGAATCAAAACAACAAACTTTTTGTTCTTGGTAAGAACAACAAGAACAAAGTAAGAACATTGAAGAACATCCATGAAAACCCATAAGAGCTCCATGAATGTTTTTACTCAATAAAACTCAAATTTTCACTACTCAAAATAGGGTTAACATCCTAGGGTACTTAGGGGTTCTAAAAGTCACTTTAAAACACTTTTAACAAGACAAACATGA